TTCCCTACAATACTTTTGGTCTCACAATCCAAACTTGCAAACTTATCTTTTCTCAAATGTTAGCTAGAAGTCTAGATTTACTTTTAAAGGATAAGTATATTTCATGAAAATTGCCTTTAAGTGAGTGGTGAGCACTGAAAATGGTGAATGATTCTTTCTAGTCTACATATATAGGTTATCACTGAGTTCACTCAAACAGAACCTGTACACGGTGCATCTAACACTTGTTCCCAGACCGAAATTACTCGGAGTTGCTCTGACAGCCTTGCCAGTGGGGCAAAACTGAACCAAGCTAACATAATGTTCACATGATAATTCAGTTAATTAAATTAAAGATATCTTTGAACCACTCAGCACAATGCAGTCCATCAAGTTTTTAAAAGCAGTCTTTCCTTTCTCTTTGAAGGCAACTACAGGTGGTATATGGAGGCCTCCATATCTGGGCATGAGAGAGATTCTCTGCATTCAAAATCCAAGAGTGTGAAGCAACTAGAGACCTTAATGATGATCACCAGGGTGGATAAAAATCAATGATTTTTAAATATATATATAAGAAATCAGGTATTTTTATTTAAAGCAGATATTTTTATTTAATCATTTTTTAAATTTTTTAAGATGCTTTAAAAAAATAAACCTATATAAACATGGTTTTAATTTAAGATATGTTAAAGCTCAAAGATACCATCATGGAATAGGGATTATAACTTCTAATTATATACTACTTGAGACAATATAGTCATGTAACCTTTTTAGAAAAGTTTTATAAATAGGTCACAACAGGCCATGGGCTGTATTAGGGCCCCAATCTTATGGGGTTCCTAGAAGCTTCTCTATAGATTAATAGATTAAAGAAAACCACACTACCCAATGGGACTTAGTGCTCAGTCTAGAAGATCTCATTAAGCATCTCTGTGATGCTTAGTTTCAGTTCTCAAACTGTAGGTTTGTGCCTCCAGAGATAACATCTTTTTTAACAGCAGTATATGGAGATGAGATAACAGATCTGATTACCTACCCATTAGCCCTATTGTCTCTGCAAGTTTGTGTACACAAAGTCAAGCCTTTACCTCTCTTTAAAGTGCAAAGTTTCAAGAAGTTAAATGTATAGAAGATTGGTGGGGATGGAGTAGATCTGGGCAAGGAGGAGGAGTCTGGAGATACATGCAAGGAGGGAGGGGCAGTAGAAACAAAAGAGAAACATTTTGAGCAGAATAGTCCAGAAGTCTTGAGGGATACATTTCTGAGTATAGCCTCTCCATTGATTTGAAATCTAGTGAGGGAATGGTATCATAGAAGGGAAAACCTATCATGGCAGCAAGTTTGCCAAGCCATAAGAGAGAGTAGAAATCAAAGATGAGAAGAAATATAGAATAAAGTGAAAAAGCCCCAAGCTTAAAACATATGGTTGCAACATTCATTTGATGTCCTCCTAATACAACGTGGCAAAAATAGCCCCCAAATATTCATGATTAATCTACTGAATTGGAGATAGTTTATATCCCAATGACTTCATAAGTATCTGCTTCAGTTAGCTTTGGTGAATAAAATAACCAAATCATAATTCAATTTTCTGATGTAGCTTCAAAATTAATCTGAAAAAATCTCAAAATAAATCACTCCTTTAAAATGTATAGTGTGTAACTTCTAAAAATGAAACCTACATCTATCTATGAGTTGTGAATAATATGTATTAAGGTTATATCAAACAACAAGAATTTCTTTGTAGAAAACAATGATTAAATTGAGGCTTACTGACCAGTGATTTAAATCATGATTAAGTCATGATTTAAATCTATTTGATTTAAATAAAATCCACCCTGATGATCACCTTTGAATGAACCTTCTCAACTAATATTTTACTACACTGCTATGATCCAGTGCTTTTATGTTCCACTTCAGACTGAGGGTTACAGTAGTGAAGAATTGTGGATTTTTTCCCTGGGACTGGAAATTATTTTGATCTTGCTGAGGTTTGAACAATTACAGACTCAGTTTGTGGAGTATTAAGAAACATTAAGAATTAAAATAGAGAGATGAGTATTAACCTCTGCCCCCCCACCTCCATTGGAAAAAAAACACGAAAAAGAACCTGGAAGCTTATGATCTCTCAGTCTCTGAGTATGTCCATGTCAGTGGAAGAGAAGACTCTAGGAAACAAGCAGTTTGCAAATAATGGACCATTATGGAGATGGGGCACCTAAGGTGGGGATATGTCGAGTGCCTTACCATCTGTCTTACGTGGGGCCCCTCTCCTCAAGTCATCTGCCACGATTTGGTGTTAATGAATGAAAGGAGGGGTTCAGTGGAGATCCTCTTCCTGGGGACCCCAGGGACAGTGGTACTCACAGTCTTGATGCGATGTTCTGTGGAGCTCTGCCTCCCCTACACCCCGTCCACTTGCCAACCGACAGTGCAGCCTGCATTGTTCTGCTGCACCCTGTAGACCCCTCTCTCCAGGGGACTAACGTCAGCACAGGTACTGGTACACTAGCTTGGCTGTCACGGCAGTTAGCACTTTAGCCTTGAGTGCTGACGATCGAGATACTCGCTTGCTGGTGTCTTCCTTGCTGCCTCTGGGACGTCTCTAATGGTCTGCCGTAATGTAGGCAGCTAGACAGAGAAAAAGCGGGGGGGGTGAACTGGCTTCTCTCTCTCTTTGCCTTGCCCAGAGACTCTGCTCCCCCAGCTCTAAATCCGGCATTGAGCCAGCTGCAACTCTCCTGTTTCTGCACAGGAGCTTCACCATGCTTGGCGTGCTCCATGCTGGCATGCTCCCTCTTTGTCCCCCTGCTGGGTTCCAGTGGGGCTTTTAAATCTTCCCGCGGCGGCTGCTCTGGCTGCCGCGATTGGTTCAGCTCTTTCCTGCCCTGGGAACAGCTGATTAAACAGCCAGTGTAACACCAGCTTGCGTGGCCGTGACTCCTGCTCCGGCTCCATCTGTGCTCCTGGAGGTAAGTTTCCCTGGTGGGAGTCTGTTTGTGGGGCTTGGGGCCCGCGGGGTCTGCCCCATCCCCTTGAAAATCCTGTGGGGGCTTCTTGCCTCCACAGCCATAATGCTGGGGATCATTAAATTATGAACAGAGCGGGCATCCAAAATAAGTTGAGTCCTTCAAGCTATGTTGTTTGTGTAGATTTGATCTCTCTCTGAAACACCCAGTTGGAATGAAATTACTTTTAAGGTTCAGTGAAGAAATAGTTGCTGAATCTAGTTGAGTTTCTGTAGCAATGAAGAAACAAAGCAGTACTCTTCTTATTTCTTCCCACAACCAAAGGCACTTGTTAATGCAGCGAGGTACAGTAACACAAGGGGTTAGCAGCATACAAAGATATTCACACCTTGGGGATTAGGCTCACTTGGCTGCACCTTGTGCTTTGTAATGCCTTAGGGAGGGTTGTTTATCTTACCTTGCCCACCAAGCTTGCTGCCTCTCGTGCCTGATCGCTTAATTAAGAATCCAACCTTGGAATGGTTCTTCCCACTGGGTTACAGACCTTGAAATTAAAAATTCTGTACAGCAGTTCTGAGAGTTTTGGTTTAACAAATCTGTGTGTGTTGAGAAGAATTTAACGGGTAACTGAGTAATTCTATCCACCCATTTGATTGAAACCCCAGTGGGGTGAGTGCAGAATTGATGCTGAGAAAGTAGAGTATCTGTCTAAATGATGATGTTTTCAGGTGCTTAGGGTAAGTGATGGAATACATGCTTTTATTTCGGGGTTCTCTTTCACCTTTCATGGAGAGATTTCAAAGCTTTTAACAATTTATAAGTAATTAATCCTCAGAGTATGTTTCTGAGGGGCATGTGGGTATTCTCCCTTTTTTGTAACAGGGGAGTCTGAAGCACAGATATATTAAGTGATTTACTTAAATTCCTTTGCACTTTTAGCTTAAAACTAGGATTAGAACTCAGCAGGTCCTGGTAAGGAGTCCTCAGCTCGCTTGGAATATGTAGTAATACATAGTGTTATAGATCAGACTATGCCACTTGTAAGCCAAGTGGCCTTCCCAGATTCATGCTGATGTTTTTTGTAGCACACCAAACCACAGCATGTTTTATCTATGTTCTTTTTCCTTGTCAAACAAGCTAGACTCACATGTGTGCCTTTCTTTTGCAGGTGATAGATGATTACAGCGTGATCGGTCGTTCGCTGTTTAAAAAGGAAACCAACATCCAGATTTTTGTGGGGCTGAAAGTCAAGCTATCTACAGGAGAGGATGGCATAATAGAAGGTGGCTTTGGGCAGAGTGGTAAATTTAAAATCCGAATCCCAGGTAAGCGCTCATCTTTTTAGTCCATCTTGGTGTATGTCAAGCATAGAGGATCTCTCAGTAATGCAGAGGCAAACTTTACCTGTAGTTTTCACAAATACAACCAATTACTAGGGGTGCACCGATAGAGTTTTTGGGGGCTGGTACTGATAGCCGAAAATTAAGGAGGCATATTGGCCGATACTGATTGGATAGCCGATACAGCTATCATCAGGTGGTAAGTCCAGTATGGTGGGAGGGGCATGGGGGGGCAGATCAATGCCCCCCACAGTGAGGGAGGGGGCAGGCGCTGGCGCTGCCCAGCTGGGGAGGGGGGTGGGCTCAGAGTGGGCTGCAGCAGTGCAGGGAGGAGGCTACAGCCACCCCAAATTTTGCCACAGCTCCATTGTCAGCCCCGTGCTGCCACCCGGTGCAGCCCCAGCTGAACACCCCACCTCCACCAAAGTGTTGGGAAAAGCCAGGGCTGCGCCGGGCAGCGGCACGAGGCTGAGAGTGGAGCTGCGGCAAACTTTTAGGGTGGCTGCAGCTTCCTCCCAGCGCCACTGGAGCTCTCTCTGAGCCCAGCCCCCAGCAAGAAAAGCCCCATTCATTGCTGGCTCTGGCTCTGGCTCTACCCCGCAGCTGCAGTCTGCCCCACACCACACAGATCTTGGGGCTCACACCCCCTGCCCCCGCCCTCCTGGGGTGCAAGCTGCCCCCACCCCACGAGCCGTGCCTCCGTCCTGCATGCCCCCACCCCGCCCTGGCTGGGCAGTGCCTACCCCTCCCTCACTGCAGGGGGCATTGATCTACCCCACCATGCCCGTTCCCTCCACTCTCCAACTTACCAGTTTGAGGTAGCTCTCCACACTGCTGGCTCTGCTCTGTGCTGCGCTGCGACTGCGTGCAGCATGAGCATTTATCAGCCAAATTATTGGCTCCATCAGGCCAATATCCAATATAGACTATTTTCTTTATATTGGTACCGATTTGATATCGGACCAATGTATCGGTGCACCGCTACCAACTATTGCATACTGGATTCGTTAATTGATTAGAGTCTTTTCATCCCAGTGGATTGTACCTCCTGTAATTAAGTGTGGGTGGCTATTGTATAATAGACCCATACGGGGTACAATAACCAAATGCATGTTTTAACATCCCTTCTACTACATTGTCCATGGAAGGCATTCTGCATTTTGGGTGGGTTTTTTGGAGACCTCTTCTTGCTATATAGCTATACAGTTTTCAAGGTCAGTGAAATGGAATTAAAACAAATATGCACTCATTTTTGCTTATAGCTATGCATACCTTTCTTTCACTTTGCTCCACATGCTATTGTTTTGTTGTTAGTACTACTGCTGTAATTCCTACTCCCATGACCCTCTACCTTGAAACAGGAACTGCAAGCATTTTGAGGACTAGATTGTACGGATCTTGAATTTCACTGGATCATCTGTAACTGCTGCTGTATCTTCTGGTTTTGTAGCATTTTGTGGCTCAATAGTTTTTATCTTTGGTGAATCGTAGCAAAAATTTCCCTGCCTTAATTAGTAGGGCTTTGGCTAGTGAGCAGTATGCTTTATTACTGTTTGTTTAGCACTATCATTGTTCTTTTTCTCCTTTCATTGGGTAATACTAGATTCTTAGCACAATGACAGACATTGTTATGGGTCAGGATGACAATAATAAATGTTGCATTTAAAATAATAACAAGAATAGTACTTTACATTTCTATTACCTTCCATTGAAAGATCAACTTGAAGGTGAAGACATTACCAGTAATACTTCTCCCAGTGAAGTAGGTGTTCTTGCTTCTTTAATACAAATGGGGAAACTGAGGCAGGAAATGAAGTAATTTTGCACAGAGACATTGCAAGTGATTGACAGTTGTTGTGGGAGGAAAAAAAAGTAGTCTCCTGACTCCCAAGTCCCTTACCCAAAATTATCCAGCATCCTATTTTACATATGGTAAGGCGGGGTGGGAAATTATTTTGGCTGGAGGGCCGCTTAATGAGTTTCAGTGAGCTATCAAGGGCTGCAAGGGTAGCTCCGCCCCTTGACAGGTACCCTGCCCCTAGTCACCATATTGGGCTTGGATGTCCTGCCCCCTGACCTTTGCCACCGGAAATCCTTTCCCTTGCCCCCAGAAGTACTCCTTTTGGGAGGGGAGAGGGTTTGCCATCTTGGAACAGGAAAAAAATCAATCATATACTAGAAGTCAAACATCTACTATAACATATTTTAATTTTATTTAAAAAAATATTTTTGTCTTAATTTGTGTTTGTGTAGTGTGTAGAGGTAAATTCATAATAGATTAAAATAGTCTTACTCTTGTATATTGTGTATGGGTTGGGGCGAGGGTGTGAGGAAATGTGGCTGTGTTGGGGGGGTGTTGGGTATGTTGAGGGTGTGGGTGTGTGTACATGTGGGAAGGTTGTGGGGAGGTGGACAGTGTGGGTGTGTGTGGGGTTTGTGGGTTGTGAGGGAGGGTGGGGGGTGTAGGGACTCCCCCACATGTCCTCCCATGATTCATAGCCCTTGCCGGTGGCAACGGTAGCAGGCAGTGGGCCCTTGGGGTGCTCATGGCCCACGCAGGCACAGCCACTCAGTGATGCACAGCTCCAGCCAGTTCCAGGAGCTGCACGTGGTGGCAAGGAGGGGAGCCAGGCTGGCCCACCAGTATTACGCAGGGCTCATGTGCAACATGCCACTGTTGGGGAAGCCCTGCACGATGGAGCCGGCTGTCTTTCCCACTCTGTGCCCCCAGAGCTCACGGGACTCTGGTGGAAAGCAATGCCACTTCCAGCAGACTCTGCTGGAAGTGGCACTGCTTTCCACCAGAGTCCCATGAGCTGCATGTGGAGGCAGGGAGTGGGAAGGCAGCTGGCTCCATTGTGCGGGCCTTTCCCTGGGTGGTGCATGAGTTCCCAGAGCTGCATGCGAGTCCCATGCAATAGAGGTGGGCTGGTGTGGCTCTTCTCTTTGCTGCCCAGCTGCAGCTTCCCTATCTGGTGCCCAGAGCGAGCGCTGCAGCAGGGGCACAAGAGGAGCTGTTGGAGGCCGGGGAAGCCGAGCAGTTCCCCCGGCAGCTGCAGCAATCGCAGCAGAGGCCCCTCCTGGAAGCTGTGCGTGCTGGCTGGGGCCAGAGCTGGGGCCCTCCCATGCAGGAGGGGGGGAGTGAAGTGAGAGGGCTGGGTGGGGTACAGTTAATTGTTGGGCGCCTATGGGCCAGATGAAGCTGCCTGGTGGGCCAAATCCAGCCCATAGGCTATATTTTACCTGCCCCGTGCTAAGGCCTTGTTCGGTGCAGCTGCTGTTAGGTTAGCTCATGAGGGCCTCTTTCCTTTGGCTCCCCTGATAAAGTGGGTGATTAGACAAAAAAGGTTCCCAATTTGTTCTAGCTGTGGAAATATATTGAATGTGCACACCATTTATGTTTAGCCAGCCGATGGCCTATTATATGGATGAGGTTGGGACTACAGGTGGCAGGCACAGTAGACCTTAAAAAATTATTGACCATGGGGGCCAATGAATTTATTTTTCCCTTTTCTGGATCTGAAATGCTACTTGAAGCAAATCATCTCAGTGCTGACAAAAACAGTTCACTCTTCATAGGAGATGAAAGAACGTGTGAAGGGATTTTGTGGTTAAGAGCTCTGGATGAAAAGCAGAGCAAACTATTCTTGAAAAATACTCCTATGCCTGGCTCAGAGGATGGACTTGAGTAGTAGGCAAACAAGCTGCTTTTGGATTAGAAGAATGAGTCCAGTACTTGACCTCCTTGGTGAAAATGCTGATGGTGTTGGGATCTTGGTGACTGTTTATCAGGGAACAAGTGTTGATTATTTATATTAAGGTTGTGCTTCCCAACACTCAGTGTGGACTGGAGATCACTGACAGGCTGTGTGGAAATAGTAGACAGTCCCTGCCCCAAAGTATTTATGATCTAAAAAGGCAATTGAACAATGGTGGTTACTTTTTGGCCAAATTCTTATCAAAGAACGGGCTCCCCTGTGGAACAGGATGGGAGCCCAGACATCCCCTCTGCCCTCTTTTAGGAGATTAGCAACTAGACCTCTGATGGGCTAGCCTTTTCTCCCCACTTCCGTAGCCACATTGGAAGGGTAGGTATTTTATTGTGTATTAACAAAGTTCTCAGTTCTGAACATAGGAAGAAATAATCTCTACTCCAAGGTGCTCACAGTCTAATCTTGCTGACATCATCTGATCAGACTACAGTGTAGAGAAACCTCTCGGTTACTTCCATTGTGGCTGTGTGCGCAGATCACATTAGGATTTAGTATCTTTGTAAAAGAACACAGAATACAGTTACTTGCTTTTTCTTCAGCCTGCAGCGAGCTTTGGGGGCCTTGTAACCCAAAAGAGCGGAGGAATGACCAAAGTAAGGCAGACTTTTAGGATCTGAAAAAAACATGTTTGTTAGAAAATAAATGCAACAAATGCATGATTTGATGCTTTTACATAACGCTGGGTCTTTAAGAGTTACTAAGATTTCTGCGTGGGGGGAGGGCTAATGGATATGATGCTGTTTAAGTCAACTACAGTTCACATTCCATTGTTAGGTCAGTGTTTCTTTTTTAGTGTGTCTGCATCCTGTTTGTGGGGTTTTTTAAGGGTTTTTTTTATTTTTATTAAATTTAACAGGTCAGATTCTTCTTTCCTCTCCCCCACAACTTCTAGCCTTGCTTCCCTTATATATATATATATATATTCTTACATATGTTCTATCCCCTGTAGATGCCTTCCATGAAGATATCATTTTAAACTTTCTGAACTACTTTAGTTTTTTGAGGATTCTTTAACAATGACATCTGGAGAGACAAATCAGCAAATTGAAAACTGCCTCAACATGACATGTATAACAGTTAGATTATTTAAAGCCAGTTTGAACTTCAAGAATGTATGTATTGGTTAGGTAGTTAATTGTATGACAGTTTGGGGTCATTTTTGTTGTTTTGCAAGGATACATTTTTAAACATCAAATACAACAAGCAGAAGCT